TAAGAAATATATACAAAACTTGGTACTAGGATAAAGGAAAAAAGCCTACAAGTCTGAATGAAAGGTAAGTCAGAAATGCAACAGACATGTTTTGGGAAATGTCTCTATAGCAAAGAGGAAGAGTTGGCCAAAGAGCCCTGAAGAAATGACAGATAAGAGTTGCTGCTTGCAATAAAATGCTTTAGCATTTGGCATCTGGGATCATTAAACACCAGGATGGTACTTGTCTATGGGAAAAGTTGCTTCTTGCTTTTGGGGACAAAATTAAGGAAGAGTATAGCAATAGTTAAAAGGAATGTGACTAAAAACAGAAGGCACACTGAACACAGCATTAAAATTATAATCATTTTGTGCTTTCCTTTAGAATTCTGTGATAGTTTAAAACTCAGTCATTTAGAGATGATCATATCTTTAAAATAAAAGTGTGTAAATAGGTATGCTTTTACTTTTAGATCTTTCAGATATTTACACATCCTGAACTCAGGAATCACCTGCTTCTACAATTGGCACAGAGCAATTCTTGCATATTTCTGAGAAAATGCAGAGGCTGATTTTGACTTTGATTTTCCAAATAAATCCTTTCCAGAAGGGGGAAAAAGTAAAGAAACCGTATGCTGATTTTCTGTAACAGTACTGCAATTAAAGTATGCATGACACTGAATATATCCTAATGACTTAAGACTGTGTTTTTTTCAAGAGCTTAGCACAGGTTACACTAATGAAAAACTATTTTATTATTCTGAAAAGATGTGGCTTCAAATACTAAGGAGCAAAGAGGGAAGCAATAGGGCAAGATGTACTTGGAAATGTACTGAGAAAGTAACAAGGAGGCAGGATAAGTTTAACTCTGGTTGACAGCATGGTTATCCAAATTGTCAGCTGGCATAAATCATTATCTAAGTAAAGACAAAGAAAGATGATCATGGCATGGTTACTAATTGAAGAAGCATTGCTAAGGAAGACTAGCAGTTTGAGATGAGTTCGGAAATCACTCAAAATACCCTCTGCTATCAACACATTATTCATTCCACTGGAATCTAGAGGGAGGTAGGAAAACCATGGCCTTTTACAGGACAAGGTAAAGCACGAAAGAGTTTAAATGGAGAGAATTTAAACACAGACAACTTTTTGCACATATTAGCAGTAATTTTGCAAAAGTGCTTAAGGAACTTGAACCTCAAATTCTAAGCTGACTTTGGCAGTTACCAACTTTCGTCCTTGCAGAACTTAGTGGGAAAGAGAGCTTTCAGCATTTTATAACACAGCCAGGTTTATAATATCCATGACTATGAAGGGGCAAATGGAGACCTGTGACATAGCTGCACAAGCAGGATGTTAGAAAATATGCCAGAGGAAAATATCAAGGATAAGAATGAACAGGCAGGAAGATGTCTGTTTCCAAATCAAGACAAACAAACAAAATAACAAGGGGTCCTGACTGCAAAAGTAGGATATCAAGAGTGGATAAGATAGCATGAAGAACTGAACTTCACTTTACACTGAGATTATAAAAAGTGTCTTAGTGGATGGATTCAAGTGATGACAAAGGACAACTTTCTGTACCCAACTGAAGCAAACACTGAGCCTGTCATAAAACATAAAAGATAGATAAATGACATAAGAAAATATACTTAGGTAGGTCTTTCCTGCTTAGTATGGAGAAGTCTATTGGTATGTCATAAACAGAAAAGTAGCAACAAGGCACCATTTTTATTCTTCAAAAAATACTGAACAATAAGAAGTGACAAAATGAATCATTGGATTTCCATGTAAGTATACAGAAAGAACTGAGTACTTTGGAAAAACACTTGATTAATTCTCCAAGTTCCAATATCATAAAGATTACAGACAAGTTCCGAACAAGTTCTACATCATTAGAAACTCCAGTTCATATATAAAATTATGTTGCCTGTTATTTGGCAAGAAGAGTTGAATAGATTTTCACTCAAAAGTTGGTAAAAGCAAAGGAGACACAGGGGCTTTAATTAGGGTTTGATGTTACTAGGGCTAAACCTCAGAATTATCAATACAATAGAGAAGAAATAAAGAATTCAGCTGATACTAGATGAATCTGTCCATAAATGTTCAGAGGCATAATTTGAGATTTCATGTTACCATGAGAATTAAAGTCACATGGTACTGGAAATATATGAATGAAATATATGCATGATTTTTTTCTAAATTAATTTATTTGCCATGTGCTATATGCCAAACTGAAAGATGAGAAGGAAGAAAAAGATATTTCTCATTTTATCAGCTGAACATAAATTAAGTTGAATGAAAGGGGACATATTAAAAACTATTCACATCAAACAACTCAAGCTTGACTACTGGTTCAGTATCTTTCTTACCTGATTTTTAAAAATAAAAACATGTTTCTAAGAAGGCTTTATTTTCTTTTTTCCTGTTGGGATGTGATTTATTTTTCTATGGTAGAATCCATAAAGAAAGGTATTTAGTGTGACAGATCTGTTGATACTTCAGTTTTGCCAGATAGTTTTCATTTCAAGATTCAACAATGAATACGTAACCCCAGATAAAGAAAATTAAGTCAATAATTAAGTTTTTAATTAGTAATTATTTTCCTATAATTATTGTCTTATCACAGATTTGAATCTGGTAAGAAATGTTTCATTTTGCATTATACTCACTTTTTTCCTATACAAAAATATATTTTTTAAGCTGTTGCACAATAAATTACTTAGTTTTTAAGTAAGTAATGTTTTCAGCTGGACTTGCAAATATTTTAAAAAAAGTAAACTAATAAAGATTATCAAAGCATAAAGGAAAGCTAAATTTATCTGTCTCTTACATCAATGTTTCCTTATAAAAAATATATATTAATATGGATTTCATGCCAGTTACTTTTGTATTTGTCCTAAGTTGTAAGTGATATCAACTACTAGTCATGGTGTGGCCAATTTCAAAGAAATTCATAAAATTCTGAGTATTGCTGCCAGCAGCTCAACTTACAGCAGGAAAATAAACAGTGCCAAAACAAGGCCACAGGCAAAGAAATTTCATTGCCTGTCACTGATGCGTTCTCAGAGCACTTGCTGCCCTGACTTTGGTCCAGACTAATGCCTCTCCAAAACAATGCCTTGGCACAGCTCAGGAACTGCAATGATCTTTTCTGTTTGGCAATTATAATCCAGTTATCCTGTTTTAGAAGCTACATTTAAGTTTAAAGACATGACTGGATGTCCTCAGGTTCAGGTAGCAGTTACTGCCACTGCTTAGCTACCATAACACAAACACTTTGTCTTGTTGATGTAGCTTGTAAGAGAAAAGCATTAGCAAAGGTAATAAAAGCCAACACATTTTTTAAAATTAAGCATAATTATGGTCTTTTAGCATCTGTGAGTACAAACACGGACATCTCTAATGACTGAAATGAAATTGCTTTATATTATAAAAATAAAACATTGAGCTATACTAATTTTACTTGGTGTTGCCAAGTCTCAGAGTCACTTTCAACTCTAGGTACCATTGAAGATATTGTTTTGTTTGGTGTAACCTGCCTCTTGTATATGATGATTCAATGGTATGTCTAATTTTCCTGTTCTATTATGTCAACTAGGACAAATAACTCTGAGAAAAAATATGCCTGATGCTTACACTTCAAACCAATTTTCTTGCAAACATTTTCTATAACAGTTCAATATTTGCCAAATCCAGAAAATGTATTTCTTGGGCATTTTTGTTCTCAATAAAAAAAAATAGGAAGTCCTTGGAATTGTTCATAAGTAACTGACCCAAGTATGAGTAAAATCAGAAGAAGCCCTGTTATCTTCTGCAATACATATAATGTTTCTACAGGCTGGAAAAATTGGGAAAATGTAACGACAGGTAAGGATTCATGGCTGCAAAATATCCATTCACCTAGACTTGTCCTTGAGGGTGGTAGACTACAAAGAACTACAAGCATTAGAAAAATAAGAACCACAAAAAATTAAATATTTTCGTGTTTTTTTTTTTTTTTTTTACATTCCAAAAGACTTTAAAAAGTGGGAAAAAAATCAATTAAAAAGACTGCAACTGGTTTTCTCAACATTGCTACACTTTCTGTTATTAGAATGAAAGTATTTTATCAAACTAGGAAGTTTAACACCACATATAAATACAGCTCTAGGAGATCACAAAACATTTTGGTTAAGTTGGAACATAAATTACTTTTTTTTTTTAATTATATATATTATCTATTATGTCATTTAACTTAGTTATGTTAGGCTATTTGGTACATCATTTCTCCATTGTCAAATGTGTTTAGTTTCCTTTCTGGTTATTGCCTGTATTACCAGGAATATATTCAGCCACATCAGTGTCTATTAAGGATTTACAAGACTCTTCTAGTATTGACATCATAATATAGACAAATTCTGGCTTCATGGAGCAGAAACTGATTACTAGGTTGTTTATGGAATCCTAATCCTCATGCTACTGAAATAAAATAATTTTTAAACCATAAATTCATGCAGGAAATAAAGTTTGGGGTTTAAGCTAAAAATAAGATGGTTAGTGTCAAATCCTCTTGCTTTGTCTGAGGGTATATGAATTTTAGTTAAATTACAATTTTGCTGGTATTTGAAGCCACAAGGTGGCAGCAATGATATGATCTCCACATCCAACTGCCCACTACCTCTACTTTTACTGTTAAAATTATCTCTTGTGCTTATAGGGCAAATATGACAGAAAGAGAAACTGTGGGTTTTTTTGACAAAGTACAGTTCCCAACTAGCTTACTTGCTAAACGTTTTTTTTTTGATTCATACTCTTTTTTTTTTTTTTTTTTTTTTTTTTTTTTTTAATTTTACTTATACTGTCTATTATATCTACTGGCTTCACATGAAAGTGTGGCGAAGCATTGTATCCGTGACACAAGTCATTTGCCCATTTGTGCAATAACATTTCCTTCCCAAGCTGGGAAATAAAATAATGGCTGGATGCATAAGCCTGGCAGTCCTCGAACATGACTGGAGAGTGAGAGGTGCAATGCTTACCTATAGCTGTTGAAAAGGTCTGTGCAGGTGCCATTGTTTCTACAAGGCTCTGAATTACATTCATTTGATTCCTTTTCACAAAATTTTCCTTCCCATCCAGGCAAGCAATCACACTGGTATCTCTGTAATACATAAAGTAAAATAAACAATCTGTTACTCTTTGTGTTTTAGTGCAATTACAAAAGTATCATTACCAATTGTTGGAAGACATTACCAGACAGCAAAACAGCTTTAGGAGTTTTTAAATATATGAGTGCATAAATGAATTCCCACAACATGATGGTGAAATGTGTAATGTACCAGCATCTTGACATCTACAGGTGTTTAGAGACTGAAAAAAACTTAGTTGCATTTTAGGTTTTTGTTATTGAAATTTGAAACAGAGACAAGTACATTTCAAAGATATGTGGGCTATGATCTTCATATAAATAGCAAAGGGAAATAATTTAATTTTCTAATACGCTTTAAAAATATAATAAATTAAGTCAGAACTCTGAAGGGAGTCCAGATTGAGCAGTTGACCCAGACCTTTCTGTAATGATACTCTTATACTCTCAGGACAAATTGAAAGCTTGAAATATTTTATTGGAGCAAAGATAACAAAAAATAAGGGAAGTTAACAATTTAAAGTCACACTCAGTATGATTGTCCTGGAGTGTGGAACAGCTCCATTGATACCAGTACTTCAAACGAAATTATTTACATGAATTATATCTAGTCAAATCAGCTTTTGCACCAACCATCTTGTATATAGCGTATTTATGATTTGTATTTTACCAACGGCCTTCTGCTTGTTTTATGCTCATGTTGATGAAAATCACTGCTATGCTAGCTTGGGGCACATCCATGATTTCTGTGACATGGATGTTCTAAATCCACTGAGATAAACTTTAAAAGTCAGGAAATAAAATTGAAGGCTATCTTTCTAAGTTAAAATTAGGCACAGAACAAGGGCAGATGACACCAGTTGTGTGGGAGCTGGTCTGCTGAAGGGTAGGAAGGCTCTTTAGAGGGATCTGGATAGGTTGGATTGGTGGTCCAAGACCAGTTGTGTGAGGTTCAACAGAGCCAAGTGTTGGTTCCTGCCCTTGGCCCAACAACCCCGGGCAGTGCCACAGGCACTGTGGCTGGAAAGCTGCCCTAATGGAAAAGGACCTGGTGGCCTTGGTTGACAGCAGCTGAACATGACCAACATGTGCCAAGTGACATCCTGGCCTGTGTCAGCAATAGTGTGGCCAGCAGGAGCAGGGCAGGGATTGTCCCCCTGTACTCAACACTGCTGAGGCCACAGCTCGAGTGCTGTGTCCAGTTCTGGGCCCCTCACTGTGAGAAAGACACTGAGGGGCTGGAGCGAGTCCAGGGAAGGGCAATGGAGCTGGGGAAGGGTCTGGAACACAAGTCCTGTGAGAGGGAGCTGGGGGTGTTTTGTCTGCAGGAAAGGAGGCTCAGGAGGAGACCTTATGCACCTCTACTGCTACCTGAAAGGAGGTTGTAGCAAGATGGAGGTCGGTCTCTTCTCCCAGGTAAGAAGTGACAAAACAAGAAGAAATGACTTGGAATTGCACCAGAGGAGGTTTAGGCTGGATACTAGGAAAAATTTATTCACTGAAAGAATAGTCAAGCTTTGGAACAGGGTGCTTTGGGAAGTGGTTGAGTCACCGTCCTTGTAAGTGTTCAAAAAACATGTGGATGTGGCACTTGGGAACATGGTTTGGTGGTGAACATGGCAGTGTTACATTGACAGTTGGACTTGATAATCTTAGAGTTTTTTCCAATATTGATAACTTTATGATAGGAGACAGAAAGATTTTGTTAAATTTTTTTGTTCTTTTATATGTAACACAGAGATGAATTTGGAAAGAAAATAATTTGCTGTGAACTGTGCCAAAGAAAGAAAAAAAGAAAATGCATTTGAGACAAATTAAATTACTACTCCACATGTTAGTGTTTCAAAATATTGACCCCAAGATTAGCTCAGTTGTTTACAGCACGGTCCTAATAACAACAAGGTTCGATTCCCATATGGGCTATTAGCTTTGGAGTTGGACTTGATGATCCTTGATTGTCCCTTTCAACTCAGAATATTCTGTGATCTGTGATAATAGCCACACCCAAATATCTCAGTTCTTGGCATTATTAGTGTCAAATGGGAAAAAAATGGGCACTACTAATCCACAGCCACGAGTAACAGACACCTCCTAAAAATTGTTCTATTTTCAGGTTAGGTTTTCACATATACTGGGAATGTGACATACCAACTTTTTTTTTCAAAAAAACTCTTCAAGACATGGATTACAAAATGGGAAGTGAAAGGAGGCTTGCCAACAGTTTTGTTTAGAAAGCAGCAGTATTTTTCTAGTCTCACTAAAATTATCTGTCAATCAAATGCTGAAATTCTGTTCTTTGCAGACTTTTCATTACATGGGAATTGTCATATCAAGCACAAAACATTACTCACATTTATGTATATCATGCATATGCGCAGAAAAAGCTAAAAATTCTTACACATTATTTCATCTCAGTAGTTTTACAGTAATTGAAAGTGCAATGTTGCATTAAACTATATGTAAGCAGATAAAAAGGGTTTTGATAGACACAAGTCTTTACTGAGAAGAACCTGGGAGGCCATGTGGACACCAAGTTGGACAAGAGTCAGCAATACACCCTTGGGGCCAAGAAGGCCAAGAGCAGCCCGGGCTGCATTGGAGGAAGGAGTGCTGCCAGCAGGCTGAGGGAGGTGATCCTTCCCTTCTGCTCAGCCACATGTGGGGAGGACACCTCTTAAATGCTGTGCCCTTGTGGTCTGCCTGGTACAAGAGAGATATGGAGCCATTGGAAAGAGTAATATCCAGCAGTAATGTTATTAAGAGATTGACACATCTCTCAGATGAGGAATGGCTGAGAGAGATGGGATTGTCAGTCAGGGCATAGCATGCACCAACTACATAAAATAACAAGAAGCTGCATAGTAGAAAGCATGCAGTGGATCAAGCAAGAGACTGAAAGTATAGAATTTAATACCTATTTATATGTTGTTCCCCTTTATTTACTGTAGCTATGTATTACTATCCATTGGAGGCAGGTTAAAATAAATGGTACCTTTGAGTTCCTGCAAATTGTCTTTTGTTTGTCCTCTAAAGAACACAGTAAGTGCATAAATAACACTATAGTTATTCCTTGTACATAGCTCTCTTGCACAATATGTAGCAGAATATGCTTAAGAAGAGTGGATTTCACCAGCTAGGGTAAAAAATTCTGATCCCTTGCACACATACCCAGAACCAAATATGTACATGAGCATGTCTTTATCCAATTAACTGTGTGTGCTGTAAGAAAGTGCCATTTAAGAGCATTTGCATATTTTCCCTTCTCCAACACTGTAAATGAAGAATTAATCATTTTCTTAAGCCCTAGTCAATGTTATTTCACTAGGAAATGGTAGCTGAACATCTGGCAAACAGAAAATGCAATGAAAAATGTTCATCACACACAACAAAGATCTGCATTATGAACAAGGCAAATCTTCAAGCCTGCGCTGTGTATGTACAGATTGAGCAGAATTTTTATCATACAGGTATATACTCCAGATATGTTTTCCACGTCTAGAGAAAAAAAAAAATTAAAGATACCCATGGAGACAGAGCATTTTTGGGGGGATTTTAAAGTTTTGAATTCACTGAAAAAATGAAAAATACCTCACTTGGAAACAGAAACACACAAAAGGAAATGTAGAAACATCCCTTTAATTCTTTGTGCTCCAAGTTCTTCTGCCAAATCATTTCTTGGGGTCCAACCCTTTTTCCATTAAAGCAAAACAAGATGAACCTATTGTAAAGCTACTTATCATTGGCACATAGTTGGAGATGTACTCCTCATCAAAAAACTCTTGTCTGTAGGAATCAGGGCTTTTTTTCCTACAAAAAACCTTCATGCAACTTCATTTTGTTAGTGCTAACAGCAGTTCATTTAACCTTGTGAAATAAATGTGAAAATAAAATTGTAAGCATCTGTGAAATCATATTTGCAATTGCTCTAAACCATATTGAGATCCTAACATTATTTATGCAGCCTTTTTTGTTAATTTAAGGGTCGTTTCTGAGTTGCTACTTTAGGGCTTTACTTTTAAGTTGTTATTGATTTAACCATTTGCATAATCATACATATTAACTGACAAAATTAGATTCCCATTAGTCATTATGGCATTGTTTTCTTTGTGCAAGTCTGTTTGCATTTATATCCTAAATAAGCAAGCTTGCTTAAAAACAAAACAAAATAAAGCAGAACAAAAAAAAACAGGATATCCATTCATCTTCCTTTGGTTTAACATTTACTTTCATTTTTACTATGGAAGTCTAAGCTAAGTCAAGACCTACGCATAGTGAAGTCCCAGCAAATGCACTACTTTTCTGTAGTCTGATAATGAATTATTTACCTGTTCTTCACAGGCTGTAGGAAGAGTGAATGTATTAACTGTGCTGCTCCACAAATTAAGGAAATTTGACTTCTGACACAAAGAAAATCTGCAATTAGCTCTGTTGTTGCAACTCTAGAAGACATACATGGCTTGCTCTAATATTAGTTAATAGCTCTGTAATAATCAGATTGCTTAACTCACAGCAAAGAAACACCTCCGGGGCTGAGTGTCAGAAGGTTTGCTGTATGGTTATTAATACTGATGGTAATTGGAAGAACCATTATAAGAAGTAGCATAAAAGAATAAGGTGGAAAAAAGTGTGAAAAATGGATTCAGAAAGGATGAAAAATTGCAATTAAAAATCTAATTTCTAAACAGTACTATGAGTGATTGGTTCTGATAAGACTACTATTTAAAAATCACTAAAATTAGTTATTGAATCTTATTTTTAGAATCACTAGCTGATATATTCTTATGTATTACTTTATTAAAAAATAAGGCTTTTTTCTATTTTACTCTTGCTACATCAGTTGCAAAACCTATGTGGTGTTTTATGTTAAGCACTTAAAAGTATGAAATACCAGGATAAATAACTCAATATTAAGTACTAACATTCTACAGAAGTTGAGGTAGCATTAGGTAATGGCAGGTATTTTTAAAGAGTTCTAAATTCTCTCTATTTATTTATATATCTTTTCCTATACAGTT